TTTTTTTTTTTTTTTTTTTTTTTTTTTTTTTTTTTACGATAATCAATTGCTTCTCATTTCTTCTTTTGTTCTTATGACCAAGTAATAATGACCAGTACTTTTAACATCTTAGAACTGCTTACATGACATCAGGTATAAATATTCTGTTATGGCTATAAAGAAATTAGTTAGAAGAGAACTTTTTAAAAAAAAAAATATATATATATATATATATATATAATATAATCTTATTATACTTATATACACATTTTACGAATGTTATTTTACAAAATGTATTCGTTAAATTTATTTAGTCTCAAACAGATTTATTTATCAAGGGCCAAAATGAATGATTCTCACTAATGAAAATTAATGATTTATGTTCTATGTATATTATTTCTTATATATTTTGTATATTATGTTTCGTTAAAAAATGATTTTATATTCTTTTAAATAAAATTTTAAATAAAAGATATATTAATGTCAATATTGACTTGCACATAATTCCGTAATTACCATTAATACTTTAAAAATTTAACTATAAATTTTTTAACTTCGCCATTAAATAACAAATACATACAATAATAATAATGTGTTTTTTGCAAATTAATTTTTAAATTAGCCCCATAAAAAATTTAATAAAAATGTTTAAATATTAAGAATAATTGGAAATTGTAACTTGATGAAATTTGTATTTAATATGATTGTTAGAAATGAACTTAAAAGCGACAAATTTTATTTGTCTATTAATTTAATTATATGAATAACGAATATACAGATACTCCTTGGATATTTTATCTTATCAAAGCAATTAGATTAAAAACATTGATAAAATTTCTAGAGATATTTACTATATAGATTGAGGTCACTGTTCATTAAATAACCAAATAATTTAATTGATTATTTAAATATTCGTATGAAGATGATTAAAAAGCAGATTGCTTTTATTTATCACGCAATACTAAATTAAGGGAGCTTCAATTTTGTATTAATTATTTGTTAAATTTCTAGTAGTGACAACATTTATGTAGTTTTACTCGTAAATTATTTAATTTATTGTGTTGAAATTTATTTAATGATAAGAAAGTGCTTTAAATAAATGTAAGTGAGCGTATATTATGTAAATCATACATCTTATATTGTCAACGTATATTAAAATTTTTAGTAATAAATTCCAACACAAACAGGAGTTTTAAAAATATCTATAATATACATTTCCATTTATAATCAATAATCATCTTAATATTTATGGTAAATTGCTAAAATGCTAAAATACCATAAAATAAAAAATAAATAGAATCTCGGTGTATTTTTACAAAAGAGCGTAAAACTTAAAAAATTTCAAAAAAATTAGCTTAAGACTTTCTATTATCGCGTATGCTCATGTATCATATACACACTGAGGCCAAACAAATATAATATTGATATTCATTGCTGAATAACAATTATCTAGTTTGCGCAAACTGTTTTATCACATAAAAATAAAGAAAGCGCTTTAACGAGCATTAGCTTTTCAAACCTGACTTAATATAAGCGCATTAAAAGTACTTTTAAGTTGAAAGTTAATGCGAGAGAATTTAAAATGTAGATAGAAATGAGGACGTAACAAAATACATTAAACCGACGTCATTGGACAATGCATTGTGATTGTTATTTCGTTAGATTTGGACTCGGATCTCATAAAACGAAGCCTCAACATCTTCATAAACATAATACTGTTCCCTCCCATAGTTTTGACTTTCCTCGGTAAAACATTATGCTTTTGGGTTTGAAATTTCACTTTTTACAAGATGAAGTATTTCACGTTGAAAAGTGAAGAATACGCCGATACGGCTAGATCGGGGGCAATAATAAAGGTGCCGGTGATCTTTTTTCTTTTATTTTTCTTCTTTTTTTTTTTTTTTTTTATTTTTTTTTTTTTTTTTTTTTTTTTTTTTTTTGCTACCGAAGCATTATATGCAAGCTCATTGTCGGCAAATTGCCACGCGCGTATAGAACGATAAAATAAAGTCATACCCAAGTAATGCGGTGCCGAGCATTAAAACGCCCTTTGGCCAGAGCAAGAAGGAAGACTGGGTTTTACTGCGCCGGATTTCCGTTCACTCTCACCTGCGCGGTTCCGAAATCTCGCCGTCGTCGCTCGGCAATCGACGAGAAAGTTTCGAGGAGATAGTCCCTCGCGCGCACGCGCACACACCATCCAATAAAAAAAAAAACCAGCGAGGACGTTGAAATGGTATTTTCGCGTGCAAGTCTGGGAACACACGGCGGCGAATTCTCATGGAACGCGGCTGGCTTTCCATCGTGGGCGAGCGACTTTTCTTCGCCAACTGTCTGGTCCCATTGCCGGTATTAGTTTATTTATTAGTCTCGCGATGATTTATCACATTATCAATGGATTTCATCGTGTTCTAGGCTATTTAAATGATAATAAATTGTTGGTAAGTCATCGCCCTCGAGACACTTTGAAAATTTTTGACAGCTCGAACGTTCCTTTTCTCAAGGTCTACTTGAAGCTTTTTTTTTTTTATAAACTTTATTTATTTACGGAAATCTTTCATACCCACTGCATAAGTACTGCATATCCGTAATTTTTCTATTCTCAAGTGATAAATATCGGCTGTAGTCTCATGTTAATTTAAGCGCAAAATAAGGTAAATAAATTCAAAACGTTTTTCTTTTTTCTTGACAAATGTGCTTATTAATTTGCGGATCTCGATCTAATCCTTCACGTGGACGTTCTTTTTTATAAATTTTTGAGCTTTCGCGTAGATAAATTTGAAATTACACTCAACGATAAATAAACTAAATGAAAAGAAATGCTATTGAAATTTAAATAAGTTTAATTTTCAAAACTTGTCTGCGTCGTAATTTTCGCTCTATAAATACGAAATGAAATTGATCATAATTATTCAAAGAAATGCGAGTGTGTACGCACCCGTGCACGCGCATTCACACACGTATATACTAATTTACTGGATTAAAATACCTTGGTTTTATTATACTACGTAATGATGCGCGGACTAATTTAACGATTAAAATTCAAATTCGATTATTTGATCTCGACTAGTACCTACGATGTATGTATGTGTGTGATACCTTCGATATTTTTTTTAAAATTTAAATTCCGCATCCACCAGGAATATGAATAAAATAAGTGAGTATTGAAAAATGGGCAATATTTTCGTTAATTTAAAATTACATTATTTGTATTATTAGGGGAGAATTGCCTAGCGCCAATGACCAATACTATCGTCGATTGAAACCGATGAATTTCGGTTGATAATCTTACAATACACACGAAGCGTGTGTACTATGTAAATACGCAGTGGTGAGTAAATATTGGCCTTGAGAGAGAGAGAGAGAGAGAGAAAAAAGAAAAAAGAAAAAAGAAGAAGAAAGAAAGAAATCTTTACACCAGGTGGAAACCCTGGGGGAATGTGTGGTGGTGGGTGGTACGCATGTATAAACAAATGGCCGACAGGTCGATTGTGCGAAATTCCCGAATAAAATCAACTATGCGCGTCCATAGCTTTGCTTTGCTATTTACTTTCATAGGCTTGAGTTTGTTGGCCTTTTTTTTTCTATTCGTTGATGCATCGAATACGTAAATTATATTTTAATAAAACAAAATGTCAATATATAGATTAGTACATAGTTTTATAAAATGCATTACAAAACTTCATATTACGCTTAAAGCGATCTTAAATTAATCATAATTATTAGAGATAATTTAATATTGAGC